ACTAGAGTCAAGCACTTACTTCAGTGACTGGCAGTCTGAGTAAAATACATATTACTTCCAGTGTATAGAACAGCAAGTGAAGGATAAATTCAGATGCTAAGATCTTTTGATTTGAAGTATACTGTCAGCTCACATGCTTTTAAAGAAATAACACTCCTTCCCAAGAGCTGCAGAAAAGAAGATGTGGTAAAGAAATCTACAAAACAACAAATTTTGAACATAATCTGCTTTAAAACAAAAGCAAACGTTTTGGTGGGACCTCAAACTTTATTTTTCCAGGCCTCTCCCACTCACCCTCAGAAGACAGCCTCTGCTAACAAAACCTGCAATGCAATGCAAGAAGGAAAATACAGAAGCAGACGCCAAGTTTTTAATCATAATTTTAAAGTACCAATAGTAAAACGCCAGACTGAAAATAAAGCTAAATGGTTTCAAACCGAGCAAGAAACTTGCAAGTAGATCTATAAAGGATAAAATTTCAGGCAATCAGAATTTATAAACATCAGCTTCAGAAAGACTGAAACGTCTACCTTTGACCTTCAAGACTTAACACCTCAATCTTTCACTCCGATGGCATGTGCCATAAAGAGAGGTTGACAATTTCATTTATTTACATGCACCTTTCTGTCAATACCAAAAGTATTTCTGTAGTCTGCTTTTGCAGATAATACATACACACTTCCGTAACAGAAAAGTTCTATGACACAAATGACTCAAGTCATTTGCTCACCTTCAATTACTCTAAAAAATCTGGTTTGTACCTGAAATTCTGTTACATCTTTCTGCCTTCCTCCTTCAAGCCCCTTTGGTATTTACACTCGAGAAAGGCTCCTGTAGGTACATGGAGACACCATGAAATCTGTCAGAGGTCAGCTAAATTCCACTTGAAGTCAAGCCCATGATCCCTGAGAAGCAATCTGGACAAGTATTTACCCACATTTCTTCTGCCCATTCAGACGACTTAAGCACTACAGACCTCCTCCCAAACCCCTGCTGTAGGTTTTCAAATACTTTAAAGCAACAGGTCTCCACTTTATAGGCACATTTTGGTGCCACACGGGACAACTGCACTACACAGCTCAACTGCATGAAAGATGAAAGGAATCATCACCCAAGCACAGGAAAACCCGATGACTGAAATAAAGGTAAAAAAAAAAAATGGTTCTTTTGTTTACCTCCCATCACTGACCGGTTAAAGTACAAAAGGAAAGAGTCAAGCACAGGGTTTCAGGGCTGCATAAAGAGCCCATTCATCACATTGTGAGAAGTCACATGCATTTGATTGTGTCAGCTTAACAAAGCCACAGTAAGAGAGATTTCTTCAGGAACTATCACTGCTGGAATTACAAAGGCAGTTAAGACACAGGAACTCCAGGACAGGAGAAGGGATGCTGTCCCAAAGGCAAGGCAATCCAGCATGCTTCAGGAGGGAAGCACCTGCTGAAAAACGCCTTATCAGCACATACACAGCACAGGCAAACCACAAAAAGGAAAAAAAGTTTAAGCTGCCGAAAAAAAAAGAACTATGCAGCTTGTCTGATCCTTTTCTCACCACCAAATGCTTAACGTGCAGATAAATGGTCACTGTTTCTCCAAGTCACAGAAGTTTCACCACTCACCTGCCACTACTTCAACTGCATGCTTAAACAAAATAGTAAGATATGTATCTATTCTTTGGAATCTATTCCCCCTTCTTGGAAGAGGGGATAATTTATGTACACATATGCACTCCAGGAGAGGGTTGAGAATCATGGGATAAAATACCGACTGAGAGGTTTGAAGGTAAAAGGATATTAATTTTATCTTCTCGTAAGAATCATTGTAAAACTGGCAGAAGGATGCAGCTGTTTTATTATTATTTTGAATAAGCACGTTCGATATGGCGAGTAAATCTTTGCTGTATGTATTCACTGAATGCCACTATTTACAGAAAGTGGGATCCTTAATGTAATTTTTAGTTCACAGCTATGCAACCTCCCAGGTAAGTTTCTGGTGCCGGGGTCAAAGGCCTCAAAAAACAAAAAAAAAACTTTTAGGAGTTAATTTTATTTCTTAATATCATTCCCATTTTCTTTCCACAAAAAATGCTGTATTACTAATGGGGAACGATACTGGCCCATCAAAATTAGAAATACACAGTATACAATGCAAGCTGTGAGGGAGATGGAAAATAATTCTGAACACAATGGCATGCTTCCACCTCCTTAGAAAAGACTATTAAAATAATTCATCAAATTCAACTACTATCTCTTAAGAGCTCAGACTGCTTACTCCTACAAGTGGAGCAGAAAGTAGGCAAAGCAATCTTGTATAGAAGAATTTGGGGAAGATTTTATATAAATAAAGGAGCTGCAATGATATAAGTAGGGTAATAGGAGGTGACAGGAAAAGTAAACAATGTAATATTATGAGGGCATATTACATCCTATGCAGGATAGAAATATACACATTTTTTACACTCATACCTCAAGTCTTAGGCCCAGTACCTTTTTGGGAAGTGTTGTATCTATTAAAATACATCTATATTATGATACTAGCTTTTCCTAAGCAGAAGCACTTAAAAGCACATTAAATGATGATGGTGGTTCTTCCACCAAGGCACTGTATAGCTCTCATCCACTTCCCTTATCCAGCACTGGAATTGTTACCATCAGCTGCGCTGTGGTCACATTTAGCCTCTGGAATACTAATGCAGAGGGCACCACTTGAGTCCTTTCATAAGGCTACGTTTAGCTTGAGTGGCTGAGTACTACTGCCATCTAGCCAAGAACAATAACCTTACATTACCGTTATCTAAACATGAACCTCGTCAAAAGCAGAGGAGAATCACGCTTTTGAAGTAATTAAGTCATCTCTGCTGAGGCAGTTGCAGGCAGCCAGAACGGACAGTGGGAGCAAAGGAGTGAATCCCAGCTGACATTTGAGTAACAGCTGTGCTGAGGCTTACACAAGACAGAGGAAGATGTAGAGTGTAATGTTTTTTCCAGATTATTTAGAACACTGCAGAATATCACATAATAAAGGCCATTTGGTAAGATAATATTGGTGCTTTTGACAGCAGAGCGTTTTGGGATGATCCATCAGAAGCATCAATTATTCAGCCTTTTATGGTGAAAAATAATTTAAATACATCACACTATTAAAAAAGAAGAAATCACAGAGGACAGGAATGTAAGGCTGAAAAAATATCAAAAAAGCAGGAAGCCATATAAGGCAGAGAAAGTGATGCAGATTAAGACAGAACAGCAAGGTCCAAATGGCAACAACAAATTTCTGTGACAGCATTTCAGAAGACCAGGAAAAAGAAAAGACATCAAACACAAGAAAGCTAAGTACTTGTAGTGAGCCAAAACACAAGAAACACATATTTCTGTCATACAAATTAAAGCAAACAAATTAAAAAAACCCAAACATAACATACGCTAAGAATGCCTGAAAGAGAGAATGAAAGTGTTCAAACCATTTGATTTCCAAAATTTTAAAATTAAACACTTTGACTCATCCTGGTAATTTCTGTTTAGCTAAGCAAATGTACAGAAAGAATTTAAGACCATAATCAATTATGGGCTTTTACTTTGGGCTATTCCACCTACAGGTAGCAGGTAACTCACTTTAATCAACTAGGAAAGTCAGAGATGAGAATGAAAACATCCTTCAAAACAGATGATCCCGAACACAGTTAGATAAACGTGCGTTTGAAATACGTGACAGCACAGTTTAACTACTCTTTTTATAACATTACAGAATTCAAATATTGGCCAAGACCTTGCACCTCATACACGTGCTTCACAACCTTCCACAGAATGGAAAAAGACTCTGGGTATTTCCTGTTATCATGATATACTGAGAATGTCCTAAAGAAGTGTACAACTTACAGTCCACTGGCTTAGCTCACTAGCCATGATTATCTGTTCTGACTTCTCATTACAAGAACACTTGAAACTAAATTCTGTAAGAGCTCAAACTCATCAAGTTAAGACAGGCTCATACAGGTTCTCATGTCAGCTCACCCATGACAGTGGTCCATGGACATACTCAGAATTTGTGGCAAATGCAATTACAGCCACAGCCCAACATGCACTAAGTAGCACCGGCATGTTTTTGCTGCTGGCTAAATCCACACAGTTGCTGTGACTGAGCTGATACAGTAAAGTCATTAATCCATGATAAATTTAATAGTGAGCCTCAGATGAATGCCTCTTCCACTTAACTGTGCTGATATCCATCTGAACATATTCTGGGAGAAGCATTAATTACAGCTCTGGAACTCTCTAACCAGAATGTACTGTAGACCAGTGCTTGGACATTACCTTTGTGTAACACCTAATTAAGCTGTGGAACACCTTTCCACAGGATGTTGTGGCTGCTCAAATTTACACAGGCTCCTGCACCAAAAATTTAAAGACACTGACACTGGCTCAGAAAATCTGTGAGCCACCAACTGCTAAAGATTGGGAGAGTGTTCTAGGGAAGTAACCCAATGTGCTTCCCCACCCTTGTACTCTTCTTTATGAATCTGTTACTGGCTACTGTCCAGAGATAGGATATTGTACACTGAGGATGTTTGGATTAATCCAGTATGGCCATTCTTCCAACAACAATGCTTGCAAACAGATTTTTCTGTCCTAATCTCCAAAATTATAGCAATTAGTCAAGGTTCTGATTACATTCAGCCAAAGTCAATACATCTTCCCCTTTCACTTGTAATTAACTGAAAGTTCCAGAACAAAAGTCTTTTCATATGAGCAGCATCTCAGCAGAGAACAAACCAGCACAAATCCTATTTCTTTGAGGTTGTAAAATTAGTTATGCCCAGTCTTGTCACTCAAGCTCCCATACATTCAACTGAGCATTTCTGGAATCTTCCTGGCATTATTACAATTATTTAGCAGGCATTAAAAGGCTGTAGGCTCTTGGTCCACCACTCTGAGGGTTAAGGAGCAGTTATGTCACAGCTCACTTTTCCCAGCAAACCTAGCAGGTAATCATATAAAACTTACATTTTCCTGATCAGAAGACAGAGGTGGCTCCTCTAAAAGAAGCCTCTGTTGAGAGCTGTCCTCCTCAAAGGCTGCCTGTGTTGCTGCAGGGTCAGACATGTGTCCTCTTCTGAGCCGTAGACCTGGCTCTGGAGAACCAGCATTATCGAGTTCCGTTAGTTCGTTCATGAGATGCTGGGAGCCTTCTCAAATATTCTCTTTCCTCTTGGTTCAGTTTGGCTGATTACGTGTTGGCTCTGAAAGACAAACACTTTATATAAGTCGACTGAAGTCAAAAAGAAGTGTGTAAAAGTTGGCTGGAAGAGGAGCATGCTCAAAAGCTACCCAACAGTTACCACAACTGCTTTTCTATGTGCCAAAACTCCCACAGGATCTATTACACAGATTTCTAAACCACTGGACAACGAGTTCTCATCTTGAGACCACTAACACTTTCATACCCTAACATAAGTTAAACACAACTTGGAAAGATGATAGAAAGTGAGCTTCACAGAACTTTTTTTTAAAAATTTGCAATTTTTTTTAGTAATTATTTTTATTTTTACAAAGCTGCAAACACCGAGCTGTTAATACTACTTAGAAATAAACTACTTATCACAAGTACTCTGTAATTATCAGCTTTTTGCAGGTACGAAGCTCACAGCCAAGCTCAATCATCTGGGCTAGGATTCACCAGAAGTAGGTCGTTAAGTACTGGTACAGCTGCTCAGGTAATAGCAAGCAAGCAGAGCTCATGCAGCAACTAATTTTAGACAGGCTGCAAGGAGGGCAGTAGTACACAGAGCAATTAAGCTTCCCTTGCCTAAATTAACATGCTCACAATCACTGCTGGCAATAGGCTTTGTACCTTTACTTGTGCAATGAATTAGAGCAGACAGATTTAAACACCGTTCATTCCATCAGAGCAATGAGACACAGGCAATTCCCCCAGAAAACCATAACCCAAGATTTCTACTCAGAAAAGTCGCTGTATTTTAGACTTATAACACTGCAAAAAGGATTCAGGGTAAATTTATCTCAAAATGCTAAAGATGTGATTCTGAGCTCTCCTCCAGGGGTATTACTGGTTACCCCTTTGTCTTGTACATCACTGCACATCTCTTCAATAGTCAGCCAAGAGATGCCTGCTGGACACTGGTAGCCTTGGGAGGCACAACACCAACGAACTTTGCAATCTGAGTGCCAGAAAGCATCAGAGCAAATTATCAGAATGAAGCCTCAGCTGAGGCTTCAGAATCACTCTGAGAGTCTATTCGTTTCGCACTAATCACTTGGTGTCACTCTTATTACTGTAGCATCTAAGTACTCAGATGTGACTAACACATAACATTAGGATAATCCATCTAACAAGTTTTAACTTGCCAGGATGCATAATTAAATTGGAATTTTAGTGCCCAATAAAGATGCTGAAATTTGTCATAATGTAGGAGAGAAAATTAAAAATATAAGATGGGGAATTGATATTGGCAGTCTTATAATAAAATGTCACCTCCAAAAAGCCAATAAACAGTGTATTCTGTCCTTACAGGAACTAATTTCATTTACATACGATCACTGCAAGATAATTCTCAGCTGTGACAAATGGGCTGTAGTTAATTTTGCTGCAGCATTTTGCAATATTATATCCCCTCAGCAGCCTGGCAATCCTCAGAGGAGAGAGCTGCTAATGAGCAGGTAACAGACTCTGCAGAGCTAAATGATAGCTCAAGTTGTCCGAGTTCAGCATGGTACACAGCTTTAATCACCCAAGATGGTGTGCTGACAACCCCGACAGCAGAGCAGATGGTGTGCCCACCTTCCTGCTACCTTCGCTACAGGGTCAGCAACCTCCACCTGAGAAGTAACGTCTAAAATGGCCACAGCTGTTTACTTGGTAAACACAAGAGTCACAGGAGAATTAAGACGAGGTTTAACAGCATTACACAGGAAGCTCAATGAAGAAGCTGAGCAAGATTTTAAGAGCAAGAAAAAATACTTAGAAAGCCATAGAACTGCTGAAATTTGGATTGTTTTTGTCATATTTCAAGCAGCCAAGTAACAATTCTATTTTTATGCACAAAACATGAAGACAATCACACCGCCATTTGGCAAAACTGATCTAAAAAAGAAAAGAGTATGCAACAACAACTACAGTTTGAAACGACGCTTATGGGCCTCTTAATTTTAAATGTAACCTATAGGAGACTAATTTCAGTACAGTGCTGTGCTGGTTTGGCTGGGGTAGAGCTCATTTTCTTCCCAAATATCCGTTATGTGTGACAGAGCCCTGCTTTCCTGGGGATGGCTGAACACCTGCCTGCCCATGGGAAGTGGTGAGCAAATTCCTTGGTTGGCTTTGCTTGTATCCACAGCTTTTGCTTTACTTATTAAACTGTCTTTATCTCAACCCACAGGTTCTCTTTTACTTCTCTGATTCTCTGCCCCATCCCACCGGGGCAGAGTGAGTGAGTGGCTGTGTGGGGCTTAGTTGCCAGCTGGTCTTAGACCACAGCAGGTCCCCTGTACCAATTTGAAGCCGTAGCAAAAACCAAAAAAATGCAAGCAAGCAGAGCAGCTGTTCATAAACAACAGTTAAACACATATACACAGGCACACACCCTGATATTCCACACAACATTTCAAAGAGGTAGTTAGTTGGAACAGCCCTAGTTAGCTTCACGGATTGTGCAATTTGCATTAGAGACGTTGAACCGGCAAGTTTTACTAGTTCTTCTTTCTACCAGCTTTAAGCAATACAGTTGCCACTTTGTGCTGTGTTACCAACTATATTGCCTAATAGCCTGTCCTTACATCACCTCTATGACATTGTGGGAGCAATGCCCTGAGACACAGTAACAACCACACAACAGGCTTAACTGCATTTGGCCAAGATGGTTGAGAAAGGTTCTGCTAACACAAGAAGATACAAGAATGCCAAGAGACTTTTAAATCAGGCCTTGAAGATTTACTTTGCTAGCACTTGCTGCCAAGCAATCACTAAGGTTAAAAATAAAAGATGCATTTCACCTCCAGAGAGTCAGACTTGCATTCAGCAGCGGAGCTGAACTTAAGAGCTCTGCAGAGATAAAAGTTGCTGTTTCTCCAAACGACAGTGGAATTGTTCAATGAACTACAACGTTTCCATGTTCTCATTTATGCAGGATCCTCTTAGCACTAAATATGCTTGCCCTAAAACAGCATGCAAAGGTAAGCAAACTAAAAGATAGTAAAGTATGGTCAGTAGCATCTAGACAGAATTTGATGGCTGAAACATTGTAAAGAGACTTATTGCCCCATTCTCTCTAAGACTGTAGCTCGTGAAAACAAAAACTAGAAAACGGAAAGCTACAGAGCACTTGAGGTCTTGGAAAATATTGTTTTGTGTTTCACTGAGATTACAAATCTCATATATGAAGTCCTTTAACTTTTTTTTGTAGCATGCAGACTAAAGGTTTCATTAAAATTAGCAGCCATTTAAAGAGGAAGTTGCCATGTACAATTTAAAATCTACTTAATGACTGCATACATAATAAGCATAATATCAGCATCCAGATGAATCAGTGAGTTCCTGATGTGCTTAAAATAAGCTGAGAAAAGCATCTACAGAACTTGGTTTGTTGCGTTTGGGGCTTTTTTTTTTAAGGTAGAAAATTTCTAAATGCTAAGTCAGCTTTTAGAAAGGACTTACCAGATTAATACAACCATAAACACAAAATGAGGCACTCCCTTATTCCACTCAATATGCTGCTGCCATGCCACCACACCCCCCACAGCAGCCTCAGCTGCTCCCTCCATCCCAGTTCAAGCAGCAGTCAGCCCCACAGCGAGGACAGTCAGGGTCAGTTTGAGGCTGGAGACAGACACCTGTCATCTTTCCAAAAACAGAATCAGAAGGCAATACTATCTCAGCAGTTCACTGCAATTGTGCAATGTCACAGGAGTCAACATCCATAACTGCAGCATATTTAGGACACTGCTTGGCTCCTCTAGATGACAAGGAAAGAGTAGTTACACAAACTTAAGCACCAGGGATAATGCTATTATTCTTTGTAAGATATTCCCCAGGATAAGCACTACAGCCCTTCTAACCTCCCAGGATTCACCTGGCACAAGGACTGGTTTACAATCTAAGCTAAATGATGTCACATGGTAGCAAACCAAAGAAATCAAACTAACAGTGTGTAATCACATCTAAAAGATCAGTCACTCTCTTTTTAGGATAAAACAGTCCCGGATGGTCAGACTACTTCCCACTACCCCTAAGCAAAGCAATCTCTGCAGCATTCAACTCCTGTCAGTGTGTTCTTTTCTATAAGCAGCACAAGAATGATCCCTTGAAAGGTATTTCATTCTGTCTGTAGTTGGTAATTAGAGGAAGAATGAAAATTGCATCCCCCTACACTCCCCTCTCAGCTGCCTTTCTGACAGAAACTTCTGAACAGGTGGGCAATGGCACTCACTGCAAGCTCCTTCCTTGCCAGTCCTCTTCCAAAGCACCCATTAAAGCAGCATAAGCAATGTATACACTGGGTGATTCTTCATAAGATTAGCCCATTCTCCCTAATCTGTTATTAAAACAACAAAGGGCCATCGTGAACATTTCAGGCTCTACATTTCTCTGAACATCCATTAGTGCTTAATGAAGGGCTTGAGTGCCTGAAAAATCTTGTAAGAGATACTTTTTCAGTCTACAAAATTTGCCTTGCCCGTGTCCATGTACCATGACAGCCACAGTGGCATCACCAGGTGACTACAACCAGGCCAGTGGAATGGCAAAGCTGACTGAACAGTAGATCACTGATGGGCTCAATCACTTCACCAAAGCCAAAGCTGTTCAGATGAGGCCTTAGTAACAAAAAAGGCACAACTCCATTTCCAGAACTGTTAGCACAGCTACAAAAGGCAAAGAAAGCACTTCCAGTACAACCCATGGGCCAATTATTTGCAACAAGAACACAGCTTACATAGGGTGATAGGGAATGTTGTGCCTATGAAACAGTGGATTCTGGCTACCTTGACAAATAAAGTATACCAAATTAAATGTAGCTTTCTTGGCACATTGTATTTTATTATCTTCTGGTAGGGAAGTTCTGTCACAAGTAGTCCCTCACAAACGGTATAGTAACACCAACAGCATTCAGTAACATCACACAAAAGCTTGACTTAGGTGACAAAGGCATCATCTTATCACCCATCTGGTTCCCTTAGTCCCCACCACCGACACTGATATTCAGCTGAGTTCATCAGCAGTGATCTGCTGGCAAGTTGTTGGCTTTTATGCTTTGGGTTTTCCTGGGGGGAGGTGGACTTTTTTTGACCACCCCGATTCATACAGGGGAAATCAGGTGCACACCAGCACAGGGCAGGTGCACAGGGTGTGTGTGGGGGAAAGAAGAAGAGTGTTACCTACACTCCTGTGTTACACGAGTTAAATTTGACATTGAGGGTCACCCACACACGTGGTCCAGCTGACCCACGGTCACTTGGTACCTGTATGGGGGATCTACTTGTTGGCTGTTTTTTTTTCATTACGCACACAGCAAAGCAAAGGAGATAAGAAATCCAGACATTTTAAGTAATTTGTGAATTGTCCTATATCAGCAGGCCACAGACAAAAAGTTAACAAAACATTAATACTGAAAGATTCAAGAATATAACTTGAAATAAGGGATCTCTTTTTTTTTTTTTTTTTTTTTTTACTTAGAGTCTTAAACAGTTGAGCTGTCTTTTTCAATTAAGGAGTTAAACATCCATAGTTAACATTCCAAATATTCTCTAAAACTACAGTCGAAAACAAAGCAAACAAGGGTATGTATGAAGGGGAGGAGGAGGAAAACCTCACAGAAGACCTTGTTTTCTGTATGCTGAAGGAAAAGTATGAATCAGGCTGTAAAAATTCTTTGGAGGTCATCTTTAACAATGAGGAACAATGAGGAAGTAATCCAGCACCTCTTTTCTCGATGTAGTTTCCCTAGATAAAGAGGCGTCTACAAAACAAAGCTTAGGCTCCCGCAGAGGGTCAGTGGCCAAAAAGCTGTCTTTGTAACTTGTAAACTGTCACTGGACGCTTCAGCCTAAGCTATTTCACAGCAGGCTGCAGAGGCAAACAATCAAGCACATTCTGATGCATTTGGGTCCAAAGAAAGGGAACAAGCCGGCAGGCTGCCTACATTAGCAAAACGCTTCCATTTCAGAGGATCCCATTACATTGTTACAACATTTGTCCAATTTGTACCGCAAATTGGACCCCAGTTTTGTAACTGGGTTAAGTGTTATGTAAGAGGTTGGCCCACCCCCAGTGCACAATGTCCCGTTGTTACAGACTGCATAACCGCTGTAAATTAGTTTTAGTCTTTAATAAACCAAAACCAAGAGAACTGTCACAAAAGCAATACAAAACTAAGAACAGAAGTTCAAATCCTTTTCACATCGCATTCCACAAACATCCACAGACCAGACCTGGAAAACTTGCTTTTTTCTTAATTTTTCAATAAACGGCTCAGTTTCTCCAAGTGAGAAACGTTCCATCTTTTGCCCTTTCATGATTTTATTTCTATGGCATGCTACTCACACCATGCTACTTCACGGCTGCCAACAACAAAAAGATGCAGTTCTTTTTTGTTAGTAACACTTTGGATCACAGACTGTCTAAAAGTGAAAGACTGAAATTAAACATCGCTTTCCTCTTAAGTCAAAATTTAGAATACATCCTTTTAGTTACTGCCTCAAGGACATCCAATTCACAAAATGCTGCGTGAAGATGAAGAAACCTAAGTGTTTGGTGCAGGCAGTGAAACCCAGAGCTAGACCACTAAACTGAGGCTACATTCATTTAGCCCCTCTACACAGAGGATCTTTGCATGGGAATATAAAGGACATCAAGATAGCGATTCAGAGAGCAAACATTCCTCCACCCTGGCAGGTACAACACTCTCCTCCTACTAAGGCAAAGTCTGAATCTGTAAAAACTGAACCGAGATCTTTTATAACTCAAGAAAGCGCTCCAAGGCCTGGAGCAACCCTACAAAAACAAACACTACCACTGTGCTTTTAAAACCAGAAGAGAAACACACACGTTTCAGGCCGCAAACTTCAAGCAGCAAATCATTCAGAGAGTTGCCTGCAGCACTTCTTACTGGCCTGCTTGGACACCTCTTTCCTTAGATGCCACCACCGTGCAGATTTTAAGGGCTGGCTGGTGCCAAGAGGGGGCAGCCCCACTCTCCCCTGTTTGGGCAGTAAAGAGGCCCACTTCTCAGGGCTGCCTCTCCGCCCAGAGGCACTCTGACCTTTGTCACAACCCATTCCAGGTGACAGTCTGGAAAAACATTAACCCAGGGAGGAGAATAAGATCGTCATTTGCCATGAAAGACACGCAAATGCTATCGAACAAGCAAACTCAAGCACTGTGGACATGGAGGACGTGACAAAGGGCAGCACCCCACCCCCAAAATTTTAATTCCGTGTATTTTATAGGGAGTATTTTCCTAACCTGCTAAAAACTGACAGTTATCTGTTGGGCCTGGCCTTTAATTGTTATATATGTACACACCATGGCCTTTATTATGACTTGTTGATCAGCTGCAGGCCACACCTGGCATAGCAAACCAGGCACCTTACCAAGATTACTAATTTTAATAGAGCAGAGAGGATCTCAGAGGCCTGGTTGCAGAAAGCTGTCACTCCTCCCAGTTTTTGGACACCTGCTCTCTAGTTTTACTGACAGTCTTGCTAAATTTTATTCCTGAGACTGTGAGCTAGCTCATCAGTGTTTCATTTTGTGGTTGACAGGTTTGGTCTACAAAACGTTTGCATTCCCATATTTGTAAAAAATAAGAACAAAGCAAAGTTATTACTTTACTTACCCTCAGCAATGACATTTTTTCAGTTGAAAACAGTATATATCCCTCTCCTCAAAAGCCACAATGCTGCTTTGCCACAAGTCAGACAACTAAAAATTTGGTACTTTTCCGTAGCAAAAATGCCACAGTAACATTGTAGAAATAACCAACATCCACATCATAGAATTGTATCAGTCTAAGACCAAAAAAGTGATGCATCATCTTTTAGATTCTTTATTACCCACCAAAACTCAAGCAAAAGAGGCAGATCCACCACAACTAGACTGCATCAAATTTATGTCAGTCAGAAGCAAATTCAGTCAAATGGCTGAAGTTCTACATAAAACCAGGTAAAGCTACTTATTAATTACTTAACTTCCTTAATGCAATATTTTAATGCAGAATAATTTGGGGTTTAAAAGATAAATATTGTTGAGAGTTAAGAAGAGCTGAAGTGAACTTTTAGTCTCCTTTGCCATTTAGTGCCACTCTCATATAAGCATGTTTCCTGGTAACGTTGTTTGAAATCATCTCGAATTCTGAAACAAGACCTAGTACCAGACACTGGTATCATAATAAATCACTGATGCAGTTCAAAAGTAGAAATGTTAAGTTAATCTTTTACTTTCTACTGTATCATAACTAAAGAGAGATGGTAAAAGACCCACAGTCTACTTATGAGAGTAATGCTAAAATTTCAAGAACCAAAATTATTATCAATACACATGCAAGCCCTTTAAGCAGGGATGTAGCTTAAACTCAAAACACACCTACAGGCTTGAAACAGTTCAAGACCATAAACTTGGTTCGTGTTAATTTACATGTCAAATGTTTTGCATGACTTAATTACCCCTTATTGATGCATTCTTCCTCCTAGAGGGAGGAAGAAGAAACAAAAAAATACACATCATACTTCTCCAAACAAACAACTCCCAAGGCTGACAACCTCCCATTATCCTCTCCAGCAGTCCAAAGCTGCTGACTTAAAGACCCAAAGCAGCAATGGAAGGGTGAAAGTAACCCCACCTGAAGGGACAGGAACCCAAAAGTTTGTGTGTTACGATTTTAGCTGTGCTTGGCAACATTTTCCTGTATGTAAGTGCTCTGACTGCAACATTTCTCTTAAGAATCATTAGTCTAGATTTAACTGTTAAAGAAAAATTGAGTCAGACTGTTAGGATTTCTATTATACTAACAATAAAGTCTTGGCTTTACTTACTCACACGTTACTTTCATAAACAGAGACATGTACAAAGGGTACTCCCTCTTTGCCCATACACAAGAATGTAACAGCATGCATGGAGTATTCCATTCCTTCTCCTATTTTTCAACTCTGAAGAGCATTGTTGTCTTTAAAGTGTTACAGGAAAATCACAATACATTAACAAGCTCTGAAACAGCCCCAAGAAAAGCAACTAAATGAGCTGCCTGAACCGGCAATATTCTCTCCCTTGAGAGGGAACTCGCTCTGTGCTGGGGTGACCTGGTCACTGCTGTTTTGTACCAAAGGCCCTTTCACACACCTTTATACAAACCTACAGTAGCACCTAAACACAAACAGGGAGCTAAGCAGCCACTGTCTGCATTTTCTGTTTTGCAGAAAGAAGCTCTACACATCACAGAAGAGACTCAATTTCTCTAAGAAGCCCTGAAAACAGGAAGGAAACATGGCCAAGCTGATAAGCATTCACGATCTTAAGAGTAGGAAGGGTAGGAATTTCAGTTGATTTCCTGGACAAGGGCCCAGACAGGAGGAACAGGAGCAGAAAGCAAGAACTGGGTCAGCAAACTACTGAATAGTTATTTGTCCTAGTTTTCAAATACTCACTGAAAGTACTCTTACCGTAACACAACTGCATCTGTAAGGGGTGTTAATACGTGTAAAACTACTCCAGCAAACTATTCTGAAAAGAAGAAAAAATGCCTTATGCTGACACATTTACTGTCAATGGAATTAGCAAATAAAGGATCTCATTCTAGTATAAGTTCGTTCTCATTCTGTAAGAAAGATAAGCTATCTAATGTAATTTTGATGTAAAGACAAATTATTGTCTCCACGGCTGTGACCGAGATGCAACACAGCTCTTCAGATTCATCTGATGTGCACAGACAGAAAACGCAGGCCAAGCTTCTCAGCAGAGACAAAGTGCTACATGTAGAAGCCAACCACTAATTTGTATGCCAAAGATGTACTTGGAAACCCAGTTGAGAACTCTAGACAGGGGGGTCAGTTCTAAACAGAGCATAAACACTGCCTTATCCACTTGTAAAACCCCCAGGTACACTATTAGGAAAAGCATGAAAGGTTCTTCCAGTATTGACAGCACTGTAGAGGCAGACGTGATTTTGGGGGAAAAAAGCAGACAATGTCAGGTTGTAAGTCCTAACAAAAATCAATAATCAGCGTTGTGAATTTAGTATGTAAGAAAAAGCAAAAGTAAAACCTTGAAGGACAACCAACTTGCCCAGATAACCAGGCAAGTAGTGGCCTGAGTAGATAAGCAAGCAACTATAGCTAAGGAAACAAGTAAGAAGTGAACAAGCCCTGTATTTATGAAATACAAAATCTGAAATCTATTTTTATCGTGTGCTAGTCAATCTGTAAGAGTTCAGAAGCCTTACATCCCATTTCACACATCTACTAAATTATTTGAGAGAGGGTTTCCTTTGTGATAGCAAAGAAAGTTTGATGTAAAACCAGAGTCGATCACTCAAAATTGCAGTTAAGATTTCAACACAGCACAAGGTTTCCTTATCTTCAAGTCTACAACAGCAGCACCACCCCAAACAAGAAAAAGTGAAGATACAAACCACTGACCATCAACCAAGGTAAGGTCACAGAGTTAGCAGATGGCAAACAGACACGAAAAGGACTTGGTTTTGACAGAGGAAATAAGTAAACCTTGGAACTTCTTGCTACAGGATGAGGATTCACGGGGAAAGTGGACAAATGCACAGGATAAATTCATCAAATCATGTTAAGCACATGAAGCCACCTCTAGCTCTAGAAGACCCTGAATAACATCTATGCAACTACCGCTTGCACATTCATGCTTAGAAGTTATTTTCTTCCTTAGAGAATGGACATCCTTACTAAAATCCTTAGAGTTCTCTCTGAGGAAGGACAGCAAAAAAAAAAAAAAAAACAAAAAACCAAACCCAAACAGGAAGGAAGTCAAATTATTACGAGGCAGAAAACTAAAAACTGCACAGAAGAAAGGATGAGGGTTGAAACAGAAAGTTTTCCCAGGGACACCAGGCAAAGCACCCTACCAACACCAGTAACTCCCCAAAGGCATCCCACAGGCCAGCAGGCACTACCCTGAGATGCTCCAGCCAGCGACTTACATAAGAGGACAAGGGGACAGAAAAACCCTACGGCTGCCAAGTTTCCTCCTCCCCTGAATGGTCAGCTTGCCTGAGACTGGTAGGTGGTCCTGCAACTTGGCCAGGCTTCAGACTCAAAGGTTATAAATAGAAAGGTCAGGGACAAAGCAGAGTCAAAGCCTCAGTAAAAGGTGATGCAACCTGGCCAGTTGGCATACGCATGTCAGGATTTCATTCTGCAGCAAGGGGGGCACATCAAGTGAACCCTGCCATGAACATTGCACAGCTCTCACTACCCACCAACTCAGCACCAGTGACACACAGAATCTGCTGGGCACAAGCAAACCAGAGCTTCTTGGTCTCTCTGCTTCAGATAGGTCTTGTCACTGTGCACGGGTGAGACACAGGGGCAAGAAAACTGAGCAAGTGGAGCCCAGGAACATGAAGCTGTTTCTGGAGCAGGGTTTGGAAGCACACTGGGCAGATATCACACAGTGCATCACACACAAGGGGGTGGTCAAAGAGCCTCGGGGGGCAGAAGCTTAAGCAGCAACTCCACAATAAAGGTAGAATTCTGAGCCAGAGGGATTTCTAGTTTGACTGGTTTATGTTATAGCTGTTCTGGAATTTCAAGTTTCAATGAAATTAACTTGCCTTTTTCCAGAGACTCAAGGAAATCAAAACACTCAGTGTGCCCCAAATTTTGTTCTTACATACAGATTAGATAAAATCTGTTTACTACTATGATTTTTAACTTCTTTCATGAATGGTGTTTAAACTGTCACACAGCAAAAAAACATCCCAAAAGCCAGTCTTACCAATTACTTTATGCACTGCTACAGTTTCCCTCCTGAAGGGGAAAAGAATGACTTGTTTAAATCCTGTCTCTCTGGTTTATATTCTCCTGCATGTAACCAGCCCTCACCTGAACTATGAACTCCAATTTGGAAGCCAAGCTCATCACACTGTCACGTCATTTCACAAATGCACAAATTTCTTGTAAGCCTCAGTACTGAGAAACACGACAGAGCAGTTGAACAAACAGATCTTGTACCTTCCTCGTGGAGTAACACACAGCAGTTATTTTAACCACTAAA